CCCCCCCTTTTCCCTCTGGTAATCACTATAAGTTTAACACTCTCAATGGCTAAACATTGCCGTAATTTAAAAAAAATGAATATCACTTTAATTCTGGATTAATAGACGGAAAATGTGTTACTTTTCTCTACTGACAAAGACTTAGTACCCAGAGCAAATCCTCTCTTTGAAGAGTGTTATTCTGCAAGAAAAGTTCCAGGCTCCTGACTGGTGAAATAGCAGAGTAGTCATACATTTAGTTACTATAATTCACAAAGCAACTGAATATATTTACAGAAGGATTGAGACATTTTATGACAACGGAAATTATTTTTTTCCTTCTTCTCTCCAGGCATCCTTCCTCGGTCCCTGTAACTCCCCAATTTTGTATCCCATTTGTTGCCATTTTTCTTTCTTCTTTAAGGTATTAACATAATAATAACAATTGCTACTATTTATTGAATGATTACCATATGTCAAGCACTTCTACGCCTTTATACTCACAACAATCTAGCAGTGATAACACCATTTTGAAGATGGGGAAGGTCAGAATAAGAAAGGTATCCATCAATCCAGAGCACTTCCGGTGGGTTGAAGTAAAACCAACTCTTTTTCTGGGACTAGAGGGAAGGACTTAAGGTTAGTGGATACATTAAGTACATAGATGCAGCAAAAAGTTGGAACGTTTATTCAGACCTCTAATTTTTCTGAGGGCAAATGGGTTATTTGAAGATGAGAGAAGGTATGATAGTCTAAGGGCTCTTAAGGAGAGTTTTAAGCCTTGGGTGTTTGGATTATTTGTGAGAGGACTGGGGAAAGTATTGCTGGGTGGTGCTGAAGCTCCAGCTGAGGCTGGAGAGCATTGTTCTCTAAGCCATTTTCACCAGTCCTGAAAACAGTCCAAGTATATAAACAGAAGGCAGTTGGATGGTATGGTGTGGGAGTTTACTAGTCTGGAACAGTTGAGGGAAAGAGGAGAGCAGGAGTTTAGGGTATAGGTGAGAGGGTGGCTAAATTAATGGACCATGAGATCAAAGTTGATAGGAAGTGAAGATGGGTGGGAGCTCACAGGTTAGGAGACTGTAGAGATAAAAGTGGACTGAAGGTTCATGGAAGTTGAAGATCGAGCATAAAGGGAATGAGAGTGGAAATCAGAAGATTTGGTTGAGGTTGGGGAGGGTGTTGTTGCTTAGATGTGGCAACATGATAGGGACCCGGTGGAGGTTCGTTAACATGATCACCATGGGGCCCAGACTAGGTAGGGAAGAAAGGAAGGACAGAGAGGACTGCCCAGGGGGGTTCCAGGGACTGGTAGTCTCAATGTGGGGTAGAAGAAAAAGTATAGTGAAAATAAAAGAGTGAACACTGAAAAGCAGAGGTCAGAGAGCAGGTGAAATGTTCGAGGCTAAGATTTCAGAGGAAGAGCCATTTTAGGCCGTGGCCAGATCCAGGGTTAGGCTATCAGGGTTTGGTAAGCTCTTCAGGGTAAAGTTTAGCTCCAGACTGTCATTTCCCACAGATTTTTCATCTTGTTATGCTTTTTTTGTGTTTTGTGTCCTTGTTTTTGCCATTTGTACTGTAACAAAATACTACAGACTGGGTGATTTAAACAGAAATTTACTTTTGCACAGCTGTAGAGGCTAGAAGTCCAAGATCAGCTGGTTTGGTTTCTTCTGGGGCTTCTCTCCTTGGCTTGCAGATGGCCCTTACTCTTGCTTTGTCCTCATATAGCCTTCCTCTATGTTTGAGTATTCTTATTGTCTCTTTGTATGTCCAGATTTCCATTTCATATAAGGATACCAATCAGGTTTGATTAAGG